TTATGCAAATTTTGTATTTAAGGCTAATGCAGTCCACCCTAAATTTAAATAAAAAAATCTTTCAAACTGTAATCTCTTTACTCACATAATCTAATTCCACTTGCGTTTTCTTCAATTTTGATCTCTCTAAATACCGAAAACCAAAAAACCATCTGACCCAAATATGTTTTTATTTCACATAAAACACAGAGAATCACACAAGCACACACACGCATACATATATATACATATATGTATATCCCCACATATCTTGCCTTTGCTGCTAAACCTGTGCCACGCCCTTTTTGGTCCGCTGTGGCCGCCCACGCATAAGCGGCTTGTGCTCAAAAGCCGTAATAACATAATAATTTTTGTCGCAAGCACAGTTCTATCTCTCCCTCTCTGTGCTCCACTCTCTCTGCCTCCCCCTTACTCCTTCTCTCTCTTTTTCTCTGTGCGTTTGTGTGTTTGTTTGGTCTATCTCTCTTATGGGTTTTCACATGCCACTAATTAAAATTATGTTGTGTGCATTATATGCAAGTGCCACGCCTCCCGCACTCATCGCTCACCGCCCTCCTGCATAGTCGTAAATAACTTGTGAAGTGGCGAAAAAAAAATCAGAGAGTAGCAGCAGAAGAAAAACCTTTTTATGCCACTGTGTCGCACAGTTGGCGTATGTTCATTATATGTGGTGCTGTCGCCGACAAGGTCCTTGAGTCCTCATCGTGCCCGTCTGCTTGAGTAATTAGCAGCACCGGAACTCAACGCATCGCAACGCAATGCAATCCAGTGCAATGCAATGCAAGGCGGGCGCACCGCTCCCTGTTGTCCTTGTCTGCATTTGTGCGCTGAGCTTTTATGAATCGACGCTGATGACGACCGCAACGATGTCGTACCCACCCATAAAGCACAAATGCAAGCGTGTGACTCCCCCATGCTCCTCCTCCTATACACAAAAACAACCAGACAAACAAACAAATTACAGCTACAACAACTAAAACAACTTGATATGAGCACTTAAATTTATTATTTAATTAGTGCAGATGTGGCAGAGCAGGAAAACATATATATGTATATCTAGATACCGTATATAGTTGTCTAAAATGAAATAGAGGTATTTGGCTTGCACGAAATTCATTTCAACTATTTTAATAGTTTTTTGAATAACATCAACCTAATATTGTGTATGAGGGGTCTCAACTTTGGGGTTTTTAATTGGACTAGCCCCGGTTATATTTAGTTTAGTGAAATTAATCTAACCAAATACTTGGTGAGTGGGTTAATTCGTAGAAATGAGAAACAGTCGTGGGAGAAATTGTGATGGTCGAAATGTTAATTTTTATATATATTTGATACCAAAGCGAATATCATTAGAAGTACAGTTTTAGTAAATTTTCAGAAGAAGAAGATAAGCTTTGAACCATTTCAGTTTGATTTCAATCTGGACACTGTCCTTGCCCATCTCTCTCTCTCTCTCTCTCTCTCTCTCTCTCTCTCTCTCTCTCTCTCTCT